GCAGCCCCCCCTGCCAGGCAAAGAAAGGATCATCCATGCTGGTCGGGGGGGGGGGGGGGGGGGGACGATCGCCCACATCTCAGCACAGGGGGGGGGGGGGGGACCCACTTTTGGCACGCACCTTGCTCGAATCGCAGGACATGGCAAACCAGACGTCGCCGTTGTCATCGACATGGGCCACGGCCATCGGACGGGTGCGGAGGCCGCTGTCGGCCCGACGCGTGGTCAGCATGGCGTTGTGGAAGCCGCGCATGTTCTCAACAAGCTTCTTGACCTTCTCCGCGTGCTGCTTGTCGCCATGCGCGGAGTCCATCATGCGGCTCTGGTCCTTGGAGCTGGGGGCAACGGAACCCATCTGCACGAGCGCGCATGATATCGGGGGGGAGGCCGGGGGGGGGGGGGGTCAAATCAAGTTAGAGGACGGTTCAGATGCCCCCAGGTACACCGGGCCGCCGGACGGCCGGACGGCAATGTCAGAGGCCTAAGCTAGGGTGATGCGCGACGAGGGGAGGCAATAGCGCAAGCCACACCCCTGCCGTCAGCCGGGCAAGCGGGCACCCTGTCCCGAGAGACAGGGGGCTCACACGCGTCGGTGACCGGAGCCGCGATCCACCCCCCCTCGGGACAACCGCACGCCGGAAATGTGACGCACCTTGACTTGTGAAGTATCGGGGGGGGGGGGGGGGAGCGAGAAATGTGTGTGGAGTCCGGGTAGAAGGGACACCAACGAAAAGCGACGAGGGGGGAGAAGGAAAAATCGGCGGGGGCTCGGACTTCCTTTGGGGCTAACGAAGGGAGCCCCAGGGCATCTTGGCAAGCTCGCTGATATAGGTGGGTGACGCGCGCCCCATGCCCGAGCTCTCGTGCGAGCATTTGCCTCGGCCCGGCCGCGCGCGCGCGCGCGCGCGCGCGTCGTGCGTGCACATCCTCTCCTCCTGCCCCCTCGCCTCCTCTCCGCGCCCTGCCCAGCCCCCGAGGCGCCAGCCCCCTCCCCCCAGGCGAGGCGCCCCGCCGGGCAGGAGCAACCCCCTGCCATGACCCGGGAGAGAAGGCCCTCGCGGGATTGTCCAGACACATACGCCGATACATAGATAGTGGCACATGGGCAGATTGAAACAGGCACCAGGGAGGCCGGGCATGCATGGACCGCAGTAGGGGCCGACTGGAAGCCCCCCTGCTTGTTCTGGGCCCTGTGGCAGCGCAACAGATAGACATCAGGGGGGGGGGGGGGGGCACATTTTGGCCAAACCACCCCCCCCGCCCCCCCCCCCCCCCCACACACACACACGCCCTGTAACCCTCCCTGGCCGGATCGCTCCGCGCCGCGGTTGGGTGAACACCGGTGACCCACCTGGCGGCATATCTCGACGCCTCCCGGGGCAACCGCGCCCGACCTGACACCCGGGACAAGCGATTGCGCGCCCTTGGGCCGCCGGCAGCGTTTTGTGGAGGTATCTCCAGTCCCGGCCCCTTTGCCGCGCTGCAGGCGATACCCGGCGAGATCCCCCGCCAGGCCGGCATACGTCAGATTCCGGAGCGCCTGGGTGTGTGTCTTCGGGCTCATCCCCCCCCCCCCCCCCCCCCCCCGGAGGAGCGGCGGAGTTTTGGAGAACCCTCGCGCAGGCCTGGCCCCAGTCCAGCATTGCGGGAGGGGTGCCCTCCAGCGGAGGTGCCACCATGGTCAAAGTCTCCTGCATACCTTAGATGCTACTGCGCCCTGCCAGCCGGCCACCCCGCTCGCCCCTCCTCCCCTGCTACACACACACACACACACCCTCTTGAGCGCCAACCGCCCGCCACATGTGCAGCCGGATGCGCGCTTTTACACACGCGAGATGCGCCGAGACATCTCACGAAGGGGGCAGGGGGTGACGAAATCAGCGATACAGATCTGCAAGGGTCCAGCGTCCCCGGGGCCCTTCGCCCCGCCGGCGCCCAAGTTGCGGCTCCCGAGGGAAAATTGTCCCCACCAGGGGAGGAAAAAGAAGCAGCGTCCAGCAACACCCTTCCCGCCTGCCGGAGGCGGCCACAGGGCACGGCGGATGGCAGAGGAACAGCCGGGAGCGGGGAGCGGGGAGCGAGGAGCGTGGAGCGGGGTTAATTGACGGGGACCATGCGCCGGTTGCCTATGCCACTGATACTCTCCGCTGAGAGGGGGCCGGCCCCCGCTCCCCCTGTGTTCCCGAGTCACCCGGGGCAATGGTGGCTCGGAGCATGCCCCAGGCCGATGCAGGCCAGGTTCCCTGGTTGCCGCGCCCGGGGCATTCGCCGAGGACCGATTGAGGATGAAGGGCAGCCCGAAGATCGGCCTCAGCCCGGCGCGGCGGCGCTGCCGGGCATCCAGGCCCACGCGCCGACGCGCATCCGTCCGGATCGTGCCCCGGCTGCGGTCCCCCCCACCCCCCCCCCCCCGCCTCCCGCACTCGCAGGAAACGGATTGGTCCTGGTAGTCCACAACCAAAGATGTCATCGGTCACGGGATATGACCTCGGCTGACGCTGATCACGCTCCAGGCCCCGCACCGGCCCCAGAGCTCGCGTCCACCGGCCTCGGGCCAGTGCCGCCCTTGCCGGCCCGCCCGGGCGCGCCGCTCGCCTCGCCTTGGTCAGCTGCGCCACACTGGGCGGGGGTGGAGGCGAGATATGTGGGGACCGGCGCCGAGAAGGCAAGGCCATCGCGGCGCGTGTGCGCGCATTGCCCTCACGCTGTGGAGTCGGCTGTGGTTGGCAAGAGCCCCAGCACAAACCGGGAGCGAGCCCCCGGCAAAGGGGTGCAAAGGCATGTCTGTGAGGCGTCTTGTGCCATGCCGACGACACAGGGGGGCGGGGGGACGGTGCTGGATGGGGATTTTTTTTGCATTTAAGGAGGGAAGTGGGGGGAGGGGGGAGGCGCGTGGAGAACGCGCTCTGCGAGTTGTAGTCACCAAAGAGAGGGAGCGGCGCGGGTGCGCGCGGGTGCGCGTGCGCGCACATACAAAAGTCTCTTGGCTGGGCACAACGCGCGGATTCTAGGAAAAAAAACAATCGCGCGGAGGAAAAGGCCAGACAATGGTCCGGCACGACAAGACACACCACGCTCAAGATTGCCGGACGGGGAGGGCGCGGGGGAGGGGGGAGGGACTCAGAGACAGGGGAAGAGAGGGAGCGAGAGGTCGATCATGCTCCGGACGTGCAAACCCACGCGCGGCCAACAGCACGCGCGGCCGCCTCTGCGCGCACTCGCTCGGCCCGGCCCGGCCCGGCCCCATCCACCGGACGGATCTCCTCCGCACTTAGAGCTTAAGGGCGTTGCTGAGGCGAGCAGGGACATGCTGGCTGCTGACCTCATCGAGATGGCCCTTGGAAATGGCCTCATGGATGCGGAGCTGGGACTCCTCCGGCAGGACACCCTCGGCGCCCTCGCCGAAGAGGATGGCACGGGCCTCCTTGAAGGCGGCCGAGCGCTCGCCGAGCACATGCTTCAGGCGAGCCATGGACTTGCGCACCTTGCGCAGATGCTCCCGCGCATAGAAGGGGCGCTTCTCGATGTTGCAGGCGTACCGCTGGGTGAGCAGCATGTTGCGCTCCTTCAGCAGAACAAACCACAGCTTGTGCAGGTCCTCATAGGAGTGGGTGCGAAGCTCGGACGCGGTCCAGCTGCGGCCTGTGCCCCGGGGGGGGGGGGGGGGGGTGCGCCCGGTCGAGTGGTGATGGTGAGCACGGTGAGCAGGCATGGCAGTGACGCATATGCGTGAGCAGGGGGGCGGGTGGGCGGGCGGGCGGGCGGGCGGGGGCCAGGGTCTGGCTCTCGCGGCCAGCACGAAGGCCGGCCCAAACCGCAGGCAAGCACAAGGGCCCGGCCGGGCGAGGGGAAAAGCCACGCACCAACTGACATCTTCTCCGGGGTCGCCGAGGCGTACTGGGTGGGGGGAAGGAAAAACTGCGAGAACGGATGGGTCTGGAGACTGGTCATGGTGGCGACCAGCTCGTCGCGGGTGCGCTGGTTCCGGTCGGCCACGGACTCCTGCTCGACCTCCTCGCGGTTGGCCTCCTTGGCGCTGACACGGCGGTTCACATGGTTGGCCATCTGGCGCATGTGCCGGTCGCGGGGGTTGACGTAGCGCGAGTAGGCGCGCCCATTGGACGGGGGGGCGCCCTCGTTGGACGTGGTGGTGGCAGCCAGGCCGGCAGGCAGCACCGGGCCCATGGGCTGACCCAGCCGGAAACCCGCCAGCAGGGCGGGGCGCGAGAGCCCGACAGTGCGGCTCAGCATCGCGATGTGCGGGAAGGGGGGGGGGAAGGGGGCGAAAAGCAGGAGGGGGAAAGGGGGAGGGGGGGGGGGGGAGAGGCGCTGAGGGCACAGTTGTCCAGGGCCCGACGGGACATGGCCGCCGGCCGGGGAGGCACTTCAATCTGCCCGGAGACGTGTGGGGAATCGAACCCTCCCGGGCCCCGGCGAGCCGGCATCTGGCGGACCGCACAGCCCGGCACATGGTGGCGGGCACAGACACCCCTCGGCGTCCGGCCCCGGGGCACATGCTGCGCACCCATCAGGACTCCCGGCGCGAGGGGCCGCCGGGCCGGGCCGCTTGCCTGGCGGGTCAGCCTCCCTCGGACGCGTGTGCCCGCGTCGCCGCAACCACGGGCGGGCGGGCGGGCGGGAGGGGTGGCAGGGGGGGGAGGGGGGTAGCTTCGGCGGTGGCAGTGGCGGCGCGCCCCGCTGCTCAGATCAAAATGGCATTCCTCCTCTACTCCCGACGCGCCGTGGGCAGCTGACGTGCCCACTGTCTGGCCGAGTCAGTTACCCACCCTGCCCGTTGGTGTCGGCCGGGGCAGGCGAGGCGCAGAGGCGCAGGCACGGCGGGGGTGGGCGGGCTAATGGGCCGCCCCTGGGGCCCGGTGCCCGCCCGAAGGGGGGGGGGGGGGATAAAAAAGCCTGGAGCAGGACCCGGGCACGCCGCCCGGGGGCGGTGTGCGCGGGGGGGAGGAGGAGGGCTGAAGTGAAACATTGCTCCCCCCCCCCCCCCCC